TTTTTTTTTTTTTTTTTTTTTTTTTTTTTGGTACTGGGAATTGAACTCAGGACCTTGAGTTTATGAGGCAGTCAGCAGCACCACTGAGCTAAATCCCCGGCCCTATTAATCCTTTTCAATAACTACTTTTTAAAATCAATTTTATTTTCTGTCCAAATGAAACTCATCAGTTTGCATAACCTGTAGGCACTGATAAAAAAGTGGGGAAAAAGATAATACCAGATGTGCTCGTTACACATTTGTGTCACAGTAACAATGCCTAAAACTGATCTTGAATTACAAACTTTCTATCATTCTAGAAAAATAAAACCAAAATCAATGAGACCAAATCTATTTTTAGTCTTATAACTTTTTCCTCTGGTTTTTGCCCTGCAACCCTCACGTGTGAAATTAAAGTTGAGAAAATTATGTAAATAGGTTGTAGGATTATGTGTATCCTTGAGGTCAAATAGAATAACTCCTCATTTTACGTAACTATGTGTCTCTTATGTAAAGAAAACATGGAATTATTAGTTTCAATATTTGCCTCTAAAATGGTATTTTTTTACACCAAATTCAAGCCTCTTTCCTTTATGTGCTAAACATGATGAGTTTGTACAAGCATGAGAAAGAGCCTAATGCAGACTTTTCATGTAGCATATATGGCACTTTCATATTTGAGATTTAGGCTAGTTTTCTACCCAAACTCATCCTCCTCCACCACCTCAGAGCCCACAAAGTTCACTTGAACCCATTAGACTTGTCTACATTTTTATAGCATATTTCACTGCAACCCAGTTATCTCTCTACACATTTATCTCTCCCTGAGGATTCAATGATGGCAAGAATTATAGGTGATTCATCCTGAACCCACTTCTCAGCTCAGGGCCTGGCATTCAGTGAGTGCTCATGACACGACTGATGCAGGTGAAAGAGTTAACTCAGATAAATTCCCTTGTCCTTAAAGTTCTTCCAGTCTACTTGCCAAACCCTTTTTTCTAGTATATCCCTAGGTAAGAATGGTCCCTGAAAGGCCCCATTATTCCAGTGAAAAATACTGAAAAGATAAATAAGAGAACGGAGAAAAAAGGAAAGGAACCCAGACCACCACCTCCACACTGCAGAGCCTGCAAGGGACTGTTCTACTTTTAACTAGCAAGTTGGTCCCACACAGAATATCCTCTCTATATGGAGTTCGTCATCAGGAAGCAGTAGGAATTGGGCATGACCTTGGCATACTGCCTCCCACAGGTGTCCACAGATGTGTATATAAATGATGTCCCTTTCTTTGGCTGGCTGGATAACCAGCGATGGGAAGAAGGCTGATGACCAGAAACTATCAGCTTGTCAATCAAGTATGCTGACTGTCTACACACAGGCACACACTGTCACCGCTACCTCCTACGGAGGACATTACTCCACACAGGTCAGAATGCTTTTGATAATTACACCTTAGAGCTCTGGAATAGTCCTGAGATCTTAGCGGTGAAAGAGGAAGGAGAATCCCTAGGAATCCCCCCCACCTTTTCTTTCTTCTCTGTGTGTGCGCAGTACAGCTGGTTCCTGATCTGAGTTGACATTTGTACGTATAGGACTGGTGGGCAGCTGAAGTCCATAAATGATTACAAATACACTATTAGTTACAAGAAAAAAAGTCATACATTTAAAGATTTTATAACATGACTGCATCACCATAAACCATACACTACTTATTAAGAGAATCTGAAACACTGGTGAATGTACCATTGCTTTAGAAAAAACTCTGCCCGTTTATATAAATATATTTGGCAGAAGATAACTCACATAAGAAGAGACTCCAGTTGGCTTGGAGATTAGTTAGTGTTCAACAATGGTGTGGCTAAAACCACCCTAGGAACACACCCACTGGGCTCCGGGAGGCAGCCACCAGCAGGGGAGTTGCCACTTGGCTTGTATCTCTCTCTATTTTTCATCTCACTACTGTGTAATTTGCATTGGGGTTTTATGGTCTACATAGTATTATGATTTTTACGTTCTTGGACAACTTTATAAAAGCTAAGCAATACAACCAATTAGTTAAAGTGTAAATTTAACTAATATAGGATTGTGTGTTATATAAGTATCTGCTTGATTCTGTTCTGAGATGTATTCAAAAGTTTAAAAAAAAACAGATATCTTTGCATCCCAAGTTTGCATTGTCAAAAAGTCAAGTGAGTGTCCAACGAGAGCTCACATTTCTCAAGTCCTATAATTCAACTCCAACTTCCTCTGTCTATTTTTCTTTTCGGCACTGCATCTTACTTTTAAACCACTTGCAACCAGGAGTACTGATAGTAGGCCTTTCATTATCTTATACCAACAATAAAGCCAATGGCGCACAAATACAAACAGAAAAACATTTGCAGATGACTTACTAGGCTGGGCAGGAGAAAGCATTGCATATTTTGGGTTCTGTTGCTGGCTTGGTTTTCATATTGCAGAACGAGGAATTGACTTGAGTATTTTGATCTCGTAAGCAAATGGCCTTTACACTTATGTAACCTAGTAAGACATCAGAATTTACAAAGTGAAAATTACAGATAACCAATTGAATTTGGTTTCCAAGTGTAGCTTCAGATTTACCAATGTCCTGATACTCTATTTAAGATATGAAATACAAATGTTTTCAGAAAATACCCCTACCCCCCATTTCCAGGATTGAACCTAGGACCTACCCACTGAATCATATCTCGTCTTTTTTATCTTTTGTGACACTAAGTCTCTAAGTTGCCTAGGCTGTCTTCGAACTTGTGATCTTTAGGCATGCACTGCCACACCAGCCAGAAATTCCTCCTTTGGCTACAGCTGCTACTAATTCGAATGCCATTCATCCATAATAGGCTTCATATTTTAAATTTTAGTCTGCAGATTCTTAATTTTCAGGAGTGAGGAAGATTCCAGTGCCATAAAGTGATAAATACCACTTTCTGAAAACAGAACGATAAAGGGAAATATCCCAGCAAGCGTTAGCTCATTTTGCACGCATCTAATGGAAAATATTTCTATAGCAAAACCAATAGTGAGTGGTGTGTGGGAACGCAAGGCTCCACTTTGCCATGAAGCATTTTCTACCCGCACAAAAGTATAATGTACTTGCATGCAGAAGGCTGAACTCTGTGTATGTGCTTATACCTCTGTTCATATTACTGGCACCTCTCTGCCTTATTTTAGTGTTTATTTCACACATAAATTTTTTTGTGTGTGAACAATTTTTATTTTAGCTTTTGCCATCTGAAAATCTGCCTGTTTCCATGGTACTTTCCCTGAAAATGGAGTCTGAGAAATGATAAAATGTCAGTCTGACTATAAGGATCAGCAATCAGTCCTACTCCTTAAACTGAAGCAGTTGGCTGTTGGGGGCACAGATCAAAGCCACCCTGGAATTCTCTGGAGTTAATGGTGCATTTCCAGAGAACTCACGCATTTGGACCTTCTGTGCCTAGGGCATGCCGGGGTCCCAGAGGGGTTGCTAAATGGAAGCGGGGGAGAATTCCAATCTCTCCCTCCATTTTCACCTTGCCTGGATTTATCCACTTGCGTGGAAAACACATCAAATCTCTCTCCCCTACCTAAGGCACTGTGGTCTTCCTGAAACACTAGGAAGCTGTTGGAAATGTTCTCTAAGAACATTTGATATTTGAGAAACTGCTCACAATCTGAGACCGAGCAGAAAAGAGCAAGGGGAAAGCTATGTCTCTATCATGGTATCTGTTTAACAACAGTACAAAATGATTTATGGTATGTGCCTGAGACTGTCAGACATACGTAGTTGTGTACACACAGGAAAAAAAACTAGAACGACAGACACCAAAAAGTATCAATGTTGGTATTGCCAATTGAAGGATTATAATAGGGATCACTTTGCTTCTTTATAGCACATTGGCCTAAACTGTTATAAAATGCATGACTTATTTTTTTGCGTGTGTGTATTTTGTTAAGTAGCATGTGCACCTTGAAACAGACCTCGTGGACGTAAGAATCTCATTTCCTGTCTCTAGATCTAAGAGGCCTCCTTGTACTTAGTGTGATGAGTCCAACGGGAAGAGCCAGCGACCGCAGGTGCTCTAATAATAGAAAGTGGGTCACCAACCTTCATGCTTTGGCTCCATGAACCTACAGTTGAAATTTCATTCTTTTTCCCAAATGGCAAATTGCCAAAGGGCATATGTGACTGACAACAGGTAATCTAAGGATGTGTGACGTTTTCCATGCCCAATTATAAAATGCCTTCTTCCTGCTTACTCAGGTGGGGCTGCTGGTGTCACATTTAACCCATTTCCCTGCTGAACGCTCACTGACTTTTCCCCAAGGAGATGAACTGCAACGACCCTCATGTCGGAGTCACCCCTGTGTGTGTTCTAACTCGTCCTCATGCTGCCTTCTAAAGTCCCACTGGGAGGTTTGTAATGACATAGTAGTGGGAGAAACCGAACTGTAATCTGAAAACTGTGTATCTATTTAGAGACATAACTATGTGCTTGTATTTATAAATTTATAAATAAATGTAGTTTATCTAAGTTTCTGATATGCAATGATTTTGGTTTTGGTGGTCCTGTGGATTGAACCTGAGCTTTAGTCCCAGGCCTTTTTTGTGATTTTTCAGGCAGGGTCTTGCTAAGTTGCCCAGGCTAGCCCCAAACTTGTGATCTTCCTGTCTCAGCCTCCAGAGATGTACAATTTTTGTGCTCTGGTTGTGGCTGATTTGAGCTTTGTGAGAGTTGGTTTCTTCTATATAGGAAAATCCTTGACTTGTATGGCATTTTCTTTTTATAGGAATGGTTCCCATGAAAGATCGTTCTTTGATGACTCATCTGTACCACATAAGGTTAAAGCAGTGTTGCATGAATCAACCTGTTTTTGGAAGATGGAATCAGGGAAGCCACTACCTCCTCCGCAGGAGACGGAGCAGGCTGACTGCATTGTGCTCCACGTGTGCTGCTGTCTTTTTGTGGCTGAATGAGTTCTGTTTGTGGCCTTGGGAAGTGCGTACTTCCAAGCTATTCCAGGATTTTTGCCTTGCATCAGAATCTGGACAGTGTGAGATAAAAATCAGAGATCAAAGTATAGGTCAGAGCCTGGAATTCCAGAAATCTTGCTAAACATTTTAAAGATACTTTCATGTCATTTTTTTAAAATCTTAAAGTCAGTTTAATTCATTGTTTCCAAGTATGTTTTATGTTGATTTCAAGTCTTCCTGTAAAACACATACATTAAAGGATCAAAACTGTGACTTAGCTAGAAGTTAAAGAGCAAAACATAATTTATTATTTGCTATGAGCAAGCAATCCTCAACTCTAGATCACACACGTGTGCACACACACATGCACACACATTCACACATTTTATACTAAAATGAAAGATGATTCTATTGCTGCACATTTCTGAGTCTTGGTGCTAATTTAAACTTGAAAGCCTAGCATGACACACACAGCGGTATCTCACAGACAGCAAGTGAAACTCAGTCTATGTGTTTCTATTTTTATGATCCTGGGCCATAATTCATACACTCTTGCTGAGCCCAGGAGAGGCACCCTGGAAACCACAGGATGCCCCAAGTGGAGCTGCCCATGGTCAACACCAGAAGCCAAATGAGTTTCTAATAAAATGCCCAAAGGGAATGTGTCCATTGACTGTGTCCTGGGCTGAGGAGGTGAGAAAAAAAGAAATACAGTCGGAATCACAGATTGGTAATGTATGAGCAGGAACAGATTTAACCTCAACAAGTCAAGAACTCAGTATAAATCTGATCCTGTGAAGTCCGACTAGTAATAGAAGAACAATCTTGTGCCCGACACTTCACAGGTGTTGGGCATTCTAGAGGGCCTTTCTTTTGTGTTACTCAGAACTCTTTTCCAACAAGTATGATGAGGTTGCCTATTTTCTCACTGAAAAAGGAGAGGAGTGTGTGCAAGATCACACATGTGACTAGGGAGTGAGCCTAAATAAAACCTCCAACAAAGATCTGCCTAAACAATGCAATGTATCGCCTTGTTTTTGATGTGAGGGAACATCTCACTGTTGATGCCCTCTTTTCTTTATTATTCTTTTCTTCTTTCAAGCTCAAAGCATGAATTCCTCCCACCCCAGGTCTTGTGGAAAATTCTTTACCACCAGAACTGGGCATTCATGCCCAAGAGGCAAAGCCAATTGCTAGTTAAAAATAGGAACCCCTGGGGCTTGATCTCTGGTGGGATCTTACCTCAATTAAAGTTGGGTGTGTGGCAGCTGTTCAAGGGCCACCAGTGTTCCAGACTACTCTTTGGGATGTTACCAAATGGTTTCCACTTTGCTGTTAGTTTAAATGTCTCCAGGAATATTAATGGCTCTCTTGAGATTTCATGGTGTAGGCATCATTTTAGAGTGACAAATTTTGGTGCCTCCCTGAATTGAGCAAAATGGTAAACCTCACTCGCCCTACACCTCATCCAAAACACAACCAAAATGCCCTAGGCAGGACCATTAAATTGGACAAATGTCAATTCTCATCAGTTGCCAGTGAAAATCCTATCACCACTCATCCTGGAGGTCTTTTAGTTGTAAGGATCTGTTGAAGTCTTCATTGTTCCTAATCTTTGCAGCTAAGCTATACAGCAGTTCTTGGAATCACACGTTTGAGTTAACCTTCACACATTTGGAATAAATCTTAGGCCTCCCTTACTTGCTATTCCTGTAGTGTTTCCGATAATGTTTTCAGGTGGTATTAAGTAAACACTGGCACACTGGTGTCTTTTATGGGATCAAACTAGAACTGCGAGATTAGATTCACATTCAGAAGATAATCTCATTCTAACTTAATTTCTCTTTCAGTCAAAGCAGTATCACAGATGTAGAACACACGGTTGCTATTAACTCTGTGCACCAGAAGTGCAGAAGTCTTGTAGGGCAGAAAATGATGCAGCGCATCACATTTATATGTGTGGCGATAAAATATGGATGAAATACAGGAGCGTTACAGCGAGCGGGATGCTATTTCTCTACAGCAGGAGACTGATTTAAGTGCAAGTGCTATAGGGAAATAAACTTACTTCCCTCCCATTTCTGGAGCCACCTATTCCCTCCATACAAACTACATCCTTTTACTAAATAGGGAAATACATCTTCCTTAAAAATGCAAAAAAAAAATGCAAAAGAATATTAGTTCTTGCCTTTCGAGCCTCTGGAACTTACGTTCTGGTGATTTAAGGGTGACAAATTTTCCAGGGGCAAAGCAAACACTTTATATTCTACTTCCATCTTTGAGACAGATTTCGGAACCTAAGCCATACATTACATATGGATTCACTGTAAACATAAAATATTTGTGTCAAGAGGAAAGACGCACTTAAAAGAAAAATTAGCGTGAAGATAAAGCTGCCGTCACTGTTAGACACAGTCAAGCCATCGAGTTTCCCCAGGCCTTTAGTCAACTCAACCCTAAAAAATCATTAGTGCTACCAACAAGAAGAGAGTTACATAACATCGCATCACCAGACCTTCCTCCACGACTGGATCCATAGGCTCCTCCTTCCCTTTGATGCCTGGCTCCTAAGACCACGCCCTTCACCACGAGCCGCATTCCATTTTACTATAACCGCCCCCAGCTCCTGATCCCTACTGAAATTTCCCTGTTTAATGGATCTCTGTAACCACCACAAAACAAAATGAAAAGGTTCCCTAGGTTGTGCTACTTTCTGTCTCCATGTTTCCTTATTTGCCCTGTGTTCTTTCTCAGATCTTCCTCCCCTTCATGTCTTTGAAATTGCTCTTTCAAGGGTGTGTTGTCACACCAAATAATTTTCCCTGTCACTTTCAACCAGTCACTACTAGCATTAGATGTAGCGTATCACTTCCTTTTTTCTGCCACCTCATGCTGCTTTTTTCCAACTTCAATGACCTTTATTACTAGTTTTGTTTTTTGTTTTGCTGAATCCTCCTTGTTTCCTAGCTATTTTATGTCAAAGTGACCTTAAATTTAAATCAAATTAAACTTAACCACATGTGGTGAATGGCTACCCTACTGGATGCAGAGCGGTAGGTGAAACCTAGCTTCTAACCTTCACATTCACCTACTCAACTAAGTGTGATCTGTACTTGAATGCTGAAAAGTACATCCAAGTCCAACACAGACCTTGTCACTCATACCCCGTCTCCAGAAAGGCTGCTCCTCAGCCTTCACCATTTCATAAATGGTGACCCATCCTAACTTTAGACCAACACATCATCTTAGAATCGCCTTGAACTCTTTCTTTTTTCACAACATACATTGAACAGTCCAGGAAATGGTACATCTTTACTTTCATCGACTCAGATCTTAGCGCCTCTCTGTTACTCCAGTGAAATGTATCTCCTCTGACTTCCATGATCAGGACAGTGAACAGAACTCTCAGGGCAGGAGGATAAATGTGATCCTTCAAGGAAGAAGCTGAAATAGACCCTCAGGGAAAAACCATCCAGTGACAGTTACGTTACAGCTTGGGTACCAACTGCTATAGCACCTGCAAGGGGAAATCCAATGATTCGCTGAAATTAAAAATAAAAATCACATGACCACTTAAAGCAGCATGGTTGCTGTAATTTAACAAAGTATCTTAGTAACAATTTGAGCCAAGAAACCACAAAATAACAAAAAGAACTTATGTTTTCTTGAGGTTTATTCTATTCCTCATAAAAGGACAAATGCTTTATGATGTTTCCCACCTCCCTTTCCTTATAATTCAAAGGAAAATGTGAAAAGATCTACAAAACAGTAAAATACTTGAGCTAAGAGCAAGAACAGTACTAACAAGAATTTTTAAAGCAATGGGGGAAACTAATCCATTTCATAAATACCAAGAAATGAGAGATTTTTATGTAACTGGCCAAAATGAGAAGAAAAATGACACAATTTACTGTAAATGTTTATAGGAAGCTGCGACTTTAAAATTAATAACTCACAAAACATATAGTAGGTGGATGTGTGTGTTCTGTTAGTTTTACAGCCAGTGGCATATACAGCATATTGTTCATGTGTATTTGTTCAGCACAGTGAAAGTAGAAATCAATAAAAGCCCCCCAGCTTTACCTATCAGATAACTTAAGGCTTGACTTCAATGGCTACGTAGCTATAATGCACACCCAGAGCTGTATGAGTAATAACAGGCAGAAAGACAGTTTCTGCAGAAACCAATAGAAATCTGCCTTAACTTAATTTAACATCAGTTCATAAAGGCCTCTTAAAGGAAGAATTTGAACAAGTATACACCAGGCCAAATATATAAAAAATGAGAATGTGCCAATTATAACTCGATTCCACTTGATTCTCAGTGTAAGGAAGCCTCTGTCCTTTTCTTCATCTTGTATTGAGAAAGGAAAGAATACCAAGAGCAGAGCACGCAGCAGTTATCTTGAACCTTACTGTTCGATGTTTGCAAACAGTTTGTCTTCTGGAAATAAGACTATCTGCCTGGCTAATAGCATCTCTATGGGTCTCTTCTGTTCTCAGGCAGACTGAATTTGGTCACAGACACCCATTCCATCCCCAGGAGTGGCTACACAGTTTGGAGGCCCAGTGCAAGATGCAAATTAAGAGTTTATCACAGCCATTGAGGGTCTTCCAAGTACAAACTTCTAAGTGTAACTCTGTAAATGCTACGGCCATGAAACCTCACAGTCCAAATTTAAATCCAGGATTTCCTCACCTGTATCAGCTGTAAGACACAATTTACAATTTTTCAAACTCTAAATCACCTGTAGTCAGTCCCTGTCTCCATGGGTAGACTCTGTAACCCTCAATTAGGGAGCTTTGTTTATACTGAAGAACCTCGTGGGACTGTCCCCACCACCTTAGCCACAGGCAGCTTCGCTTCTTTCACTGCGAGGCAGGAGGCCTGGGAGAGAGGTGTGGACACAGCTGAGACCCCGCCTCCAAAGTATGCGACTCGAGGCAGTTGCAATGTCCACCGCACACAGCTATTTTACAGCCTTTCCGGTGACCTTGTTAGGAGCTGTCAGTTGCTCTTTTCAGCACTCATGGAGAACACAAACAGATCCTAGGACCACCACATCCTTGC